AAACCAAGTTAGAATTAGAGTCTAAGTTAGAACAAAAAATTACAACAACAAAAGAACCAATTTTTTTTTGTTCAAATTCTGAGGGATTTATCCAATCATAAAAAATAGATAAATAAGGAACAAATTTAACATTATAAAGACTCTTGATCAATCTAAGAAAACCTAACAATTTTGGCAGCAAATGGGAAGGATAAAGAGAGCAGAAAATAACTCAAACATGATTTAAAAAAAATATTTCATTCTCTACTTTTGTCAATCTTCCAGCAAACATGAGTTAAACTCCTACACTCAGTTCAAAAGAGGTATACACCGTCTCTAGCATGTAGGTCCAAAAATGAGTAACAATAATAATATCAATATTGATGGCAATTAACATGCACATGTTGAACAACCAAGTAGTGGGAAGAAGGAAGCGATGATTCTAAAAAGGATAAGATTTCAAAAAAAATTGATGATATTTGCAACACAGTTAAAAGGGTTAATATGTCTACCAATAGTAACAGCCACAGTAGTGGAAAAAGGAAAGAAAGAGAATGGTTTGAGGTTCAAGCTGGGAAAAAAAAGGAATTATGAAATTGGGTTTCAACTACTGTCATGGTGGGATCAAATGATTGACAACATGTTAAACAATAGTGATTCCAAGTCTATAAATAAAGATCATGAAGGGTGTAGTATTCGTGAGGTTATGACCGAGCTTCACTCAATTGAAGGAGTTTATATAGGTGATGATTTTCATGGGTTTGCTACTGAGTTTTTAGGTTTGAGAAGGAATAAAGAAATGTGGCAAACTGTGGGCAATATGGAAAACAAGATGAAATGGTTGTAGAGAATGTATATATGGCGTAAAAGACCTTAGACCGAGAGGTATATATTACTCCCAAATGCCTGCTTTCATATATTTATTGCTAATAATATTATTTAAATTGTTATTTAACATGTTTTAAAATTACTTGCCATTTATATAAATTTGTAGATTAATAAAGTTGCAGATTTTTCAAGCTGATATAGAGCAATAAATTAATTTATGTTGGTTTGGGAACCTCTATAAATTAAACAATTAACATTATAATGAGATGACATCTGTAATTAATTAGGTTATGGAGCATTAATATTTATTATGTACTGATTATGGATTGTATTTTAATGTAGTTTGAAACTATAATGTTATTTAAGAATTGTTGAGTGTTATTAGTTGTGATATGAGACAAAACGATGTACCATGAATTACATCAGTTTATGATGTGAACAATGCTTTTAGTTTTTAACTAATAAATATGCTGGTTAATGATGCAAATCAAGTGTATTGTTTCATTTGACAATAAATTTCATTGATAAATTCCAATGCTCTGGAAATGTACTATAATAAATTGTATCATTTCAATAAAAAAAAATTAAAATTAGATTGGAAAGGGATTAACGGGAAAGAAAATAAAAGAATATGCAAAAGGTTAGATATATTAAACGCAATGGCTGAAAAATCACTCGTCACAGTATATACCTACAAGGTATAAAACAAGTAAAAAAAAATACAAATTGATAATGAACCACCCTAAATAGAGGAAAAAGGAAGGAAACACAGGCATAAAAACAAAGGCACCATCACATAGTTCCCTCGTCACCGCCACGATAACCAGACTAACCAAACGGGTGGAGACAAGATACAGGACAACCCAAAATTTGATCTATGAAACACAATGGTAAGGTTGCTCACCATTTTTGTTCTATAAGAGAGCCGAATAATAGCAGCAAGCAGAGGTTGAAACAGGGGCACCACCACATGGCTTCCTCTTCACCGCGATGATAACCACCTTCAGTCATTGTCCTAAGCATTAGCACCACCATAAGCGGAGAACAACCATCCAAAACAAACATAAGAAGTAGCAAAGATAAAGATAAAAAAGAAAACCAGAAATAGTTAACGAGGAAAAAAGATCGGTTTCTATCGGCCAAGCAGTGCCCTCTGTTCACCATCAGCCACCACTGTTGCGACCGTCAGGCAGACATCACAATCGCATAGGGTAGCTTCGTCTTGCTGTTTCTCTTCCCTTTTTTCTTCTTTGTCTACAAAATTTCCAAGCGGCATCCACTGTTCACATGCTATGTGAACAGTGGATGTCAGGTGGAATTTGTGCAGAGGCCGACTGAGCTAGAACAAACTGATATGTTTTGGACTGGGTCCGACCCAATAAATAAAAAATAAATTGAAAAAAAAATCGTTAAAAATACTATCAAAATATTACTTTTCAAAAGATATCGACACAATAATGTTTAGCAGTATTCATTTGTTTATCTATGTAGCAGTATACATATGGACGATGAGAGTTTTAATACAATATTCAATAAAGATCTGGATGATGATTATGAAAACATAATAGTGCATGTTGTTGATCATATTAATTGTCGTGATGATTATGACAACGGTGGCTGAGGTGGGGATGCTAATGATAGGGTAAAGGATAACGATGACGATGATGATAGTGATGAAGATGATGAATCATTTTGGATGTGAGAATTTGATAAGAAAAAGGTTAATTGTGTGCACAGCTAGGGCCATATATATGTATTATATTAATTATATGTATAAAGAACCATGTATACCTTGGTTAACCGAAGTTTTACTAGGATATTGAAAATGATATGAGAACATGTTTAGAATGGATACATCAACTTTGTTGAGCTTATGCAGTGATTTAGAAATAAGGTATGGGTTAAAACCTTTAAGAAGGATGAGCGTGATTGAAAAAGTGGTTATATTTCTGTATACAATAGCACTTGAAGCATCGAATAGGGAGGTTGAAGAGCATTTTCAATATTCGGGTGAAACTGTAAGTAGATGCATCAAAGAAGTCTTAATAGTAGTATATTTGTTTGCAGTAAATGTCATAAAACTAAAGGACCTGAATTTTAGAAGCACTCGTTGCGACCGTCAGGCAGACATCACAATCGTCAGGCAGATATATGCCTCATTTCAAGGTCAGACAAATGTTTGTTGATGTTGGCAATGTGAAATTTGGATAAATTTTTTGCATGTTTGTAATTGATGAGTTTATATTGTCAATGGTTTTCAAGTAGAATTATATTGGTGCAATTGATGGAACACATGTGTGAGCTTGCATATCAAATGAAAATCAAATTCCATTTATCAAAAAAAAAATATACCGACTTAAAACATAATAGATGCTTGTAGTTTTGATATGCAGTTCACGTTTGTGTGGGTAAGATAGAAAGACAGTGCCTATAATACATGTATTTTTCTTGAGGCTATTGACATATTAAATTTCCTAAACCACTAGAAGTTAGTTATACAATATAACTTGTTATGTAATTATAAGTTTAATAATTTGTGAAATTCTTATTAATCATTAGAAAAATGTAAATGTTGTTTGTAATTACAAGTAAGTGCTATCTGATTGATTCTAGATATCTCAATGAGTATGGGTATTTAGGTCCATATAAAGGTCAGAAATATCACTTACAAGAATTTCAGCATCGTGGACAACCAAGAAATCAGCAAGAAGTTTTTAATCATGTACACTCATCACTATGTAACGTAATAGAATGTTCTTTTAGAGTATAGAAACAGAGGTAAAGGATTCTACAAAACATGTCTGCTTACCAATACAAAACGCAAGTTGAAATTGTAGTGGCATTAATGACAATACAGAATTACATTAAAAGGAGATCGAATGATGACGTTGTATTTGTAGAATTTGACTGCAGTTTTAATTTTATTCTTGATGATATTTTACTCGATATTGTTGCACGCTTAAGAAGCCAGAAAAACTATAGTTAAGGTAGGATGAATTTCGTATGTGATGAAATTGCAGATTGTTTAATGGGACAGTGAAAAATACTTTATATGAAGTATTTTTATTTGATAATGTAATAACAGTAGTTAAATCTAAAATATTTTAATAAAAAAATCATATATATATATATATATTAGTTATTTTTTACCCTAAATCTGAAAAGCTTGATTGTTTGGCATTATGACAGAGATAAAGAATTAAAATGCTTTTCGCTTTGAGATATATCTTTTGAATTTTTTTTAAAAAAAAATATGTTTGACATCAATACAAGAAAACAATTTAAAAATATTTAAAGAAATTATTTTAAGTACCCAAAAAATAGAAATAAAAATTCATAATTTTTTGAAATGCCGTTCATACTGTGTTCCTAAATGGTTACCAAACACACGAAATTACTTTTTATTTAAACTCAATTTTAATTACAGTTTTAACCAAATAGCTATTAAATTAAATTAATCTCAACTAAAAATATTTTTTTAAAAAATAACTTAATCATAAATATCACTGCAATACCAAACACACTAAATGATGATTGAAGTCCCGGTTTTTTCTTGGTCTAAACAGTGAAGCTGATAAAAAACTCTTTCGGTTTTTCAGTGGGTGTTCATTTGAAGTTTCGATAATTATTTTCATCATCATTACACCCCGCATGACCTAAACGATCAAGCCAAAAAAAAAAAAAATCTATTGGTCAAATAACTTGTTAAAGGGATAAGCATTCTCTGCCCCTGCTTTGTAGCTGACAATTAGATGGAACCGATTGTATCAACAAATTCGTCGTCTTCCTTGAATGACCAAGTTTTTTCACTCATTCTCAATCACGATAATAGCCTTTAACTTCAGAACTCAGAATGGAGGAGCTTTGTGAAGGGCTGCCTCGAACATCAATAAATCCAAGAAAAAAAACCCTAAAATGTTCATCCACGAAACAAATGTGAACGAGACAATCCGTGTGTAAAAATTCCCATAAAGATGCAGGCAGCTGCCGTTACTTGTAAGCAATGTATTCTAGTGTGCAAAACCCTCACAATCCACACATTCTGAACTTGCTGTTATAATGCAGGAACATTAGCAATGGCTTAACTACACTGTGAGCAAAGATAGATGGATAGAATTATTGGAGTCATTGCTCTACAATATGATATGCAAAATAAAGTTTGAAACATGATAGTTAAAATAGACACCAGAAAATAAAGGTAAATATGCATGCTAGCTCTCCAGTTTTGAAGGTTGAAAGAGTCTTAGCACATTTCATTTAATAAGTTACAGATTCATGTTCCATTAAATGGATAATGTTTAGGAAAGTCCTCAGATTATAAAGTACATAATAACCAAATGCCATGAATGTAACATAATAACCAAATGCCATGAATGTTAAAGACCAGACACAAAAAAGCCTAAAAGCAGAAGCCACAGCACTCCTCCAACACACAGCAGCAACAAAGACAAGCCAAACTGCAAAGTATAGAGGTAAGAAAAGAAGTAAGATACATTTAGAGATTACAAATCATTAAGAAAGAATTTCAATCATCTTCTTGTATGTGGACAGAATGAAACTATCATGCACTAGGAGGATTTAGGTTGAATAGCACATTTGCTTTACAGGCTGGTCAATTTTAACAGGCTGGCTTAGTGCCTTCTACAAAAGATTAATCTAACATCAATTTTATATTCAGGACATGATCTCTAGTCTATTCATCACTTTCTTTGGTGTAGCCCAATGATTTGGGTCATTTGGATTCAATGTACAGGACCAATCCAAAATTTCTTTCCTTTTGTCTCAATCAGGGCAAGCACCAGGTGGTCTGCCAGCAAAGATGCTCGTGTGTGCAAGCTTAAAGCAAAGCTTTAGGGGCTGATACAGAGGTGTTTTCTGCTCTGGTCACTATCATGAGCTAGACATTAGGTGCAAACTTCTTATTGGGGTACAACAACGTTAATGAAAAGTAAAGTGCAAATTTGCTTCAGCATGATGTTTATAGGAATCAAGATGAGCAGTAGAAATTAAGCCGTGTAAGCAGATACAAAAGCAAACACAACAGTATCTTGAGTGCTAGGAAAGTATGAAACAATTCTAACCTTAATGTTCTTCTAATGGGTCTAAATTGAAAGGAAGTTTATTTTTTTGAGGCTCCTTTTCATCTGAAGTTTTGGATGTAGTGCTTTAACTCAATCTCTTCATGATGCATTCCATATCAGTTCATGATGAATTTACCTGCGTACTTAGTGGAGTTTCCTCTGTCATGGATTGCTTTAAGAGGCTTGATTGCATATGCTTTTGCAAAATTCTTTTTTTTTAAGATTCATATGGCTGTGGCGTGCAATTAGATTAAACAAGCTAGGTTTCGGCTTTCGCAGAGATGTTCTCTGGCGAAATTGCCAGAGGAGACGGAAACTTGGACGTAGGGCAACTTAAAAGAGTCGAAGGTTAGGAGTTAAGTTTGATCGACGTTTAGAGTTGTTTCGAGACTTCTAGCTTATTTTTCACATTTACATGCATGCATGAGAGAGAGAGAGGGAGTTATTAAACACATGCATATTTCGATCCAGTAAAGGTTCTAGCTAGATCACCAGTTTTCAATTCTAGCATTAAGTCAATGACTGGAGTGACAGATAAAATATATTAATCAGACAAAACAAGTGAACCTCTAAGAATTAACACCTCCTCTTCATGTAACAAATTCCAAGGGCTCAATAACACGGGGAAAATTAATTTCAATGGAAGCTGAAACCCAAATGAGATGCACTCCAGAAAATTGTAGAACAAGAAACAAATTGAATGAATAATCATGCTTTTAAAAGATGAGGAGCCAAAAATTAATAGCGGTAGATATCACACGTACCATCCTCTTAGGAATGAACAGCAACCACTACTGTCATCATGATCATGATGGACAAGTGGTGTGTGTGGAGGTGGAGGAGGAGGTTGGGGTACAGGGCCTTCATAGAAATAGCTTTGATAGCCAGGTGGAGGCGGTGCAGGAACTGGCGGTGGAGGCGGTGGAGGCGGTGGAGGCGGTGGGCGGCGGCGGCGGCGGAAAATCTTGGGGAGGATATGGAGGTGGAATCCCTGAATTTCACAAAATATGATCACAAAAAATTGCATATGCAGCCGTATTTTCTTTAATCCATAGACAGCTAAGTCAAGCAAGCATTGCTAAGTAGTTCTGTAAAGTATATCAAATAAAAGGATAACAGAAGTTCCATCATGATTAGATCATTAAGAGAAACATCAATTCCGTAAAAAGGAAAATTGAATGAAACATAAACATTAAAACAAGGTAAACTCTTGGAGACTTACCCGGTGGCGGTGGTGAATGAGGTTAATATAATTTTTTGTCTAGGGTTATTAGTTATCATTATAATAATTGGGGACAATTTTGTTTTTCTAAATTTTTAACACACTATAAAATAAATAAATTATCTTTAAAAATAAAATTTATTTAATTGATATTTTAAAGATTTTTTTTTTAATTTTCATTATATTTTTTTGTTATAATTAAGTTGATCAAAAAAGATTTAATATTTTAATAAAAATTAAATATAATATAAGATTAAAATTAGCTGACATGTGACATATGAATTATATGCACTAGTATATATATCGTTCTATTGTTTTTAGGCAATGCATATGACACGATAAAAAATAATCTTTATTTATGTTGTTGGAATTATATTAACTGACCCTTTTTTTTAGGTGGTGTTCTATTGTTTTTAGGCAATGCATATGACGATAAAAAATAATCTTCATTAATGTTGGAATCATATTAACTGACCCTTTTTTTTTAGGTGGCGGTGGTACATTTAGTTTATTGATTTTTAATTTGGTGTTTATAGTTTTTTTTTTTCCATTCTTTTCTCTTTCCTACTTAATTTCATGTTTGACTCTCTAAATTTTTAAAGTAGACATTCAATTTGTTTTTCCTTTGTAATTGCTCTATGTTTTTTTTTTATTATTATTTATTTTATTTAAAGTAATTTATAAAATTAATTTTTTTTTTTAATTTTATCCTCTAATTTTTTTATCTGTCATATTTGGTTCATATTATTTTGATTTCTACTTGTTTTATTTGAGATAGCTTTTAAATTTGATTTTTTTTTTATGTTTTTTTCCTTTTTTAATTATTATTAATTTTTTTTTGAATATTTTTCTTAATTGAATTTAATTTTGAATTTCATCTTTCAATATTCAATTTAATTTTATTTTTATGTTAAATTTGATCTTTATTTTTTTATTGCTATTTGTTTTGTTTTGAATAATTTTTTATTAAAATTTTTCTTTTCAATTTCATCCCTTAACATTTTATTGCTCAGAATTTTATTGATCAAGAATTTGACTTCATGATTATTTCAAGTTTTCCTTTTAAGAGATAATCCTGATCTCAAGATCAAAGTTATGGGTTTAGCTAGTTAGCTCGAATTGATTTATGTTTTTTTTTTTTAATTTCATCATTTAATATTGAGTTTGTTAAAAATTAAGTTTCATTATTTGTTTATTTTTTTTTTCTGTAAAATTATCTTGATCTTATGTGTCGAATCATGAATTTAGTAAATTAACTTAAAATAATTTAAGCTATTTTTTGTTTTTAATTAACTTAAAATAATTTAAGCTATTTTTTATTTTTTTATTTTTTTATCATATTATTATATTAACTAAATTTACCGAATCCAGTCAAGTATATAGCCTGATTCTCATATTTTTCTTACTTTTTTTTTAAAACATTACTATCTCCTGAGAATCATTTTTTATGTTAGAAATGGTTGGGTCCAATGTGTGGCATTGCAATGATCACTCATCTAGTAACATCCTAAAAAAATTGCAATGTTGTTCTTGTGATACATGAGCATTTGCATTTAAGTTGTAGTTCAGCCCGCATCAATTATATGATGAGTCTGGATTGAAAATGAAAAGGATAATCGTCTCTAAATGTTTGACATATTATTATGAAGTCATGGTAAATAAAAAATAAAAAATATATAGTGATATAAAAATTATTTTAAAAAAGAAATATAATATAAACTAAAAGAAATAACTAATAGGCAAATAAATAGAGAAAAAAAACATAATAAAAAATCAAAAGATCTCTCTATCCAGTTAAATTGAAATAACTCTATTTATAGGTCAAAAGATACATAAGTAATAAATCTATATATAAATGTATTTTATATATGATAAATAAATAGAATAAAAAAAAATGAATGTGTTTTGTTGATTGCGAGTCCAACCTTAGATGCCTCTCCTAATTTCAAAGAAAATATCCTAATTAGTACCTGGAACCATTTTAAGTCATTATTCGAAATTAATTTTGCTAGGCATTAATTTTCAAAATTCTACTAGAAAACAATACATTTATAACTAATTTTGCTCCTTTATGGAACATAATATTTACTTTTTTGAAACCATATATTAGATTTGCAACACCAGATATTATAATAACATTTGATTTAACTAACTTTAGCTAAGAAAAATGTATTTTATTTGTTGGAACAATGTGTGTTGTAATGCCTGTCAAACATAGATCCCTGGTATTGATTCTAAATAAATCAATTTTTTTACATGTTGATATAAAATCAAAAGAAATATATACATATATAAGATGGATACCTATTTAATAATATATTCTTAACGTAACATGCAGCAGTTCAGATGACTATTATCTATCTGTGACATTTTCAAATTAAGATAGTTTCCTAGTTTAGACCAACTTTCCCATACAAATTGAAAGAGGATGCCAAAGGGAAGGGTTATTTCGAGACTGGATTAAGAGCTTGATTTCAGAGTTGGAAATTCTTGCTTTAATCCAACCCAAGAGCTTGGTGTATCCAAACTAGGCCCATTGCTTCTTTTGGTCAGCACCCAGCAGATCGCTTGAGCCTCATGGAACTGATATTGAAGGGAAATGAGCCCAAGAGGTAAAAAAAAAAACAAAAATAGCCTCATGGAACTGATATTGAAGGGAAATAAGCCCAAGAGGGAAAAAATAAAAAAGTAATTGAGAAAGCTTAATGCAAGGTAAAATTAGAATTTCACCATACATGATCAAATATCAATTGAAATGAACGGCAACACTTTAAAAATCTATTTTAAATTTAGTCTTCCCCAAGATGTTAGTGCCTGTCACATAGTTGTTGGACATTATGCATTTATAATGGACTGTGTGCATGTGCATTGCTTTCCCTTTTGGATCATCGAACGGTCCATGTCCATGTAGCGCGCTGCCTTTTAGAGCAATAATTTGAAGATGGGCCCGGGACACAATACCAGAGGCCCTAGCCTTCTGCTAGCTCGTGACATCCAGGCTGTTCTGAATAGTATATGTAATGGGCTTTTGCGGATGGATTATTATAAGCTCAGTACGCTGCGAGGTACGGGCAAATAATTCCTGACCCCATTGTTCCTTCCTTGTCTTTTTAGCTCACCTTCTTCTCCTGGAATCCAACCTGAATTCACTTCTTTCGACCTGGTGATGTCTGGGAAAAGAGATTGCCGGGAATTCAACAAATATTTCTTTTCTTTTTTTATTAGAGATTATATAGTATTTATGGTGGTTGATAATGCCGTTCATGAATGCTCAATTGAAAATGATTGTATATGTATATATATTTTATCTTTTTATATTAACACTCATTTAAAGGAGATTACAAATCTGCCGCAACACCCTCGTCAATATGCTGGTTTAAAAATTCACAAGGCAGTGTGAATAACTCAAAAGGGAGTATTTTAAGATCAAGTTTTTGCTTGCTTGAACAAAAAGAAGGGACGAGATATCAAAAGCAACTGCAATGACTCCTTGAATATAAATAAATTGATGATAAATGTATGTGAACTAATTAAGACATAGCTTATATGGATTTCAAATGCACTCTTAATAGTTAATTTGCTTGAAAAATATTCTAAATATTTGTTAATTTTATATAAAAAATTTTCAAGTAAAATTTTTTTAATAGTTGACTTAAAAAATATTTTTAATAATGGTGGTGGAAGATAAAGAAAAGGTAAAAGTGAGATGATTATAGTGATACTAATAAGATGATAATGATAGTGGAGGAAGATAAGGAAAATGTGATAGTAAGATCATCATGGTGATAATAGTGAGATGATAATGATGATGGTAAATATGGGATTGTGAAGGAGAAGGTGATAATGGTGATGGTAAATATGGGATTTGAAATCTTTGCTTGAAAGCTATTTTAGATCTATAAAAATATAGAATTGAGAAGTTTTATTTGATTATTTTTTTAAGATATATTAAAACGTGTTTGGTGAAAAATTGATTAGGATACTTTTCTTTTTGGAAAATAATCTATATTGGTATAATCATTGAGATGTGAAATGCATTGTAGATGTGTTAATCTATAGATTAATTATATAAGATAAAGAACTGGAGTGTGCTAAACATGTGATTTAATAAAAAAATCAAAAATAATTTTTAGACTGATTATTGAATTATATTTAAATTCATTCAAGAGATTTTCCAAGCCTATTTGGACAAGTATTGATTGGATATAGCTATTTGAAATCAAGAAAACCCTCAAATTAATTTCAAAAGTTGTTGTTTATGCTATTTTTTAAAGTTAATTTTAAATGTTAATTATTTCTCCTCCTTAGTTTTGAATTGTTTTGCTGTGTCAGATTTTGCTTATTTTTTTCAACAGAATTTATGAATTAAAAGTCTTCAAGAATGTATCAGAGTTTCTTCTATAATTTTTTTCATAGTTGAAATTTGTAATATGAGGCTTGAGAACCTTAATTGTTTTCTCTAAATCCTAGCACTATACGCTCCTGAACATAACACGCATAAAGAAAGTTTCAGAACATTGTATATGCATCAAGAGAACACAAATTTAGAACAAGAGACCAACTTAACCTGCACCACCCTTTTCTATATGCTCTCTTTTTATAGTGCACCATGCAACCTTGATGAAAAGGGAGATCATGACATTCATGTTTCTATCAAAAGTTAGGGCAACGGAAGAAGTATCGTTAACTTTTTTTGAAATGTTAATATCATCTCCCCCTTATCAAATCCGTCACAGCTTAGATTCCTTTCTGCTGTCAAGCAAAAGGTTTCCTTGTTTTGTTCTTAGGGTCCCTACTTCTTCATTTAATTCCAGCTATGACTGACCTACTCCCGTGGACCATCTCTAAAGCATCTCTGCGTGCGTCTGAGTTCGAATATTTTAGGACGAAGGGCCTCACCTTCTCAGACCAAGCAACTGTGCCATGTCTCATCTTTTTGCATGCCGGACTTTCCTTTTATAAGCGTTGTATTTCGAGCTTCATACATTGTCAATTTTCACTTTCTTGAATCTTTTGGCA